TTTCCATGATAAGTTTTTCATTAAAAACGGCCTCAAGCTCAATAAAACTTGTTGAATAAACAAAAGAAAAATAGGAAAAATTTGTTAAAATGTCGTGTCCCTATTTATTTTTCCATCACTATATATGAGCCATTCTTACCGTTATACATTTCTTGTCTATGTGAAGACCAATCGGTTTTATAAAGGTTTTGTAAGACTCTACTTGTAAACTGTACTCTTAGAAGGGTTTTTTAATGCTCTTAATTAAGAACGTATATTATAAAATAGGTTTATAAGGCTCTGCGTGTAGACATATTTTTATAGGACTCTTTTTTTTATCCTGTTTTATTTTTTGTATTTCATGATAAGAACAAATCTTCTACAAATTTAAGCTTGTAGATCTCTATAAGTTTTCTTCATTCAGAATCAGCATTAAGCAAATTTACACACATCTATAAATTTTAATTCTTAGAGAAATTGTGCATTTTCTTTTCGAAGTAGGGTTTGTGCTCATAAAGATCATAAATACTATTCAGTCATACCATTTCGTATTTTGCTAGATAAGAAAAAATCCTTTGTTTTAGAAGTTATATAGATATATGTACATATGGGTCATTCCATACGATATTTACATTTCAATATTTTTTTGGGGTGAAATATATTTTTTTACATTCTTTATCGAAAAAAGAAGACACCTATTTTTTTATTTCGTCATGATATTCGAAAATCTTGAACAAAATTTCCGAAATTTGTAACTCACGGAGAAGTATCTTTTTTCAATTGTTTGTAGTTAATAAACTATTTGTCGGAGACAATCAGTTAAGGTATCAAAATTTGCGTATTTATCCTGTTTGATTTTTATTTTTTTTTTCACCTGAATAGTTGTCAAACTTTATGGAGTACGCTGTAAAAATCTGAGAATGGAAACACCAAAACTGTAGAAGTTACGAGTTTTTTTCATACCTGCGTACATAAAGTTTATACTAAAGGTTATGTACGCAGGTTCATAAAGTTTATAATCAAGTTTATGTACGCAGGTATGAAAAAAATCGTAACTTCTGCAGTTTTGGTGTTTCCATTCTCAAATTTGTACAGCGTACTCCATAAAGTTTGGCAACTATACAGGTTGAAAAAAATAAAAACCAAACATGATGAAGTTAATAAAAAATAAAAATAAAACAATTTTTGAATGCAAAATTTTTTTATTTTAATCTATCTCACACTTTCATAGAAAGCCGAAGTAATTACGCACATCACGAGCTTGGGGAATACAAAACCAAAATTGATATTAGCACAGCTCCTTCACTTACAACGCTTTTCCACATTACCGGTTATGGTATTTTTTTTTTAATACCCCTTTCCCATTTCTTCCCCACTATTTATTAGCCTCTTATTTTTAATATCATTCCAATTTTCGAAATGTGCTTTACGTTTTTTGCCATTATTGCACTTTTGCATTACAATTGTTAATTTTAAATCGGCCATGTTCACCTGCACTTAAAACGTTTTTCCACTCACTACTTACTTTGGAGCGTAGGTTAATGTCCGAAAACTGATGGAAATTGAGAAATTTCGTGACCTTATGATACGCGAAAGTATTTTTAACTGTAATCTGCGAAAAAACTAATTTTGAGTAAACTGGCGCTTACAACGTTATTCGCGGCGACCATTCAATTGTTTATAAAAGCTGCCTTGAATTTCCTGTTATGTTATGAGGTACTTGTTTAAATTAACTTACTTTAGTGCATCGAAAATGAAGGTCTTCGACCCTCCAATCGCTCGTTGGAAGAGCCGGATTCTTGATTTGTAGCATGCTAAAGATGCTCTCCGGCCATGATGGCGTGACCGGACCCACGCTCTGGCCCTAGGTCTGACTGGAATTCCCTTCTTGTCCACCACTTCCACCTCGCATCATCGCAAGCCATCACCATTACTGTAATCGTGTAACGATTACTTAGAATACGTTGTTGTTGTTGTTGTAGCGGCTACAACAACCCCGCCCAGATCGGCTAGCGTCACAATCGTTGACGTCAAGCTATACTAACGGGAGACACAAGAAGCGTGCAGCTTCTATAGGGTCCATCCATAGGGATAGAGGCGTCAGTTGAGTGGGGTTTAGTGGGCATGCGAAGAGATGATGGGATGTCTCTCCCCATGCCGGGCACTCATTGGGCACAGCTGCATCCAGTCTGCTCTGGTACGAGTTCAACCTGATCTTAGAATACGTTTTACCTCCGGTATGGATGCCTTGCTCAAATGTTGTAGAGTTATTTTTTAGAGCTTCACAAACGCGATTATTGCACGAGAACTAATGAAGTGATTTCGAAGAAAAATACGGCGTTTCAAAGATAAAATTCCAAATTTATAGACAGATGTACCTTGTAAGTGATCAGTTTGGTTTCTGTCGTAGAAACAAATGTAAATATTGGCTTGTTTTGGGGTGTATTTTAAGCTTTTACAGTCTAGTAACTTAGGTTTTGCACATGGGTATTTCCATACGTCACGTACGTGACAGTCGTACGTTTCAATGATATACAAACAAGGAAAAACATTTGTTTTCTTCTACTTTTTTTTAGACCATTGTATAGCACATAGTTAGCTGTACATTTAGCAGAAAAATTAAAACAATCGAACCGCATTATCCTTAAATATAAATTAAAGACGGTGTCGTTACGTGGCAAAAAATGGAAGTTGATTTTTTCTTTTCTTAAAAAATCGCAAAGCTCAGCGAATTGTGCAGGGCTCTTTCATGAAACTTGTTTTAATATGATTTGGAGTAATTCTAGTTGTTTGAATAGTTTTTTGAATTCATGCAACTTGTTTCGACTTTCTTTTACAACCCCAAGTGTGAAACGTCACGTCACGTGACATAAATTTCCATCGTTAGATTTTTGTTAATATTGCTTTTGAATGAATTTATAACGCCACTAACACATGCATTTCATGTCGAATATACTTTGTAATTTTATTTAAGCGCCAATTCAGAGTAAATTTTTTGGAAATCTATGATTTATTATGTTTCAACTACATACGCCGAATTCGAACCAAATCGGACCATAAATACGGCTTTTCGACCTTGGCGCCACCTAGCAAGACCATTTTACGCAAAAATTTTTCTACTTAAATAGCCAGTATATATTAAAAATAAACAGACAAATTGGCCCATAAATATTTTTTTGCCGCGGTAGGCCTTCCGATGGAAACACCCATAGATAACTTTAATTTTCGGAGTATAAGTTTTTTAGAGCAATGGGAATATTTTTGTGTTCAATTTTTATATAAATAAAATGCTGAGT